TAACCTTACCATTCACATTCTATCGAAGTTTGATCTAGATTCCGAAAACTAAAACTCAACCAAAAGCCTTATACATAATGTAACACGTCTCTGCGTTTATTGCCTCATTCTTAGCTGATATATGCAGTATTTAAATAATGTATTTTCCTTACTTCGTAAAAAATGTGATGAGTGAATGTAAATCTGTTGTGGTTTAAGCAACATATCATGGTGCCATATGTATGTAAAAGTAATTCAGAACTGGCGTTTGTATATATCATTATCATTATTTTATCAACAGCTATTTGAAGTGTTCTAGTTTTCTGTTTAATAGAACACCAGATGCGCAGGACAATTTGCCATTGGATGAGCTCGAGAAAGTTGCGTTATTTTCCGTTTTATTTTGTCATTCGACCAAACAAATTGTAGATCTTGGCATGAGTGCGAGATTGCTGGAGCTGCTTCCTTCTCGTTTACATATACCATTTTTTCCAAAGATTAATGTGGTACATGATTGTCAATTATTTCAAAATTGCCATTGAAGACTGGTGTAATCAGAACAAGTTTCATCTCAACGCCAAAAAATGAAGGCTTGTCACACGTAGTAGAAGAAACACAGTTGTTAATTACAACTATGTTGTGAATGGTTCTGAAGTTCCAAAAGCAACCATGTTTAAGGACCTATGAATAACTTTGGATTTCAATTTAACATTTGCTAACCATGAGCAGAAGGTATCCCATGTCTCGAAACTTGAAGGGTTTATTGAGCCTTTCGAATATTGATGAATTTGTTGTTCAATTCACTCGTACGTCCTAAACTAGAATATAGGATCCTTTCTATGAATGCTACATCATTGCAATAGTTCAATGCATATTACCCTAAACACGGCATTGACTACGTACAACGTGATCAAGCTCTTCTGCCCCGGGATTATGAGCCCCGAGTTGCTTTTTGTCGCACAATGTTAGAAAGACACAGGGAAGATCCACGGTTCTTTGAAAAAAATGTATGGTCAGATGAGACCACATTTAAGAAAGATGGGTACATGAACCTGCATAACTTACACGAGTGGCATGTAGAAAACCCACATTTGATGAGAGAAGATAAATCTCAATATCGCTTCAAAATAAACCATTGGACAGGAATTTTAAATGGTAAAATAATCGGTCCGTTTGAGTTCCCAGAGACTTTGACTGCTGAGGTTTATTTAGGTTTTTTGCAAAATCATTTAGAAAATTTATTGGAGGACGTGCCACTGAGTATTTACAGGGACATGTGGTTTCAGCATGATGGCTGCCCAGCGCACTATGCACTCTCAGTGAGAGAGTATCTCGATCAAAACTTTCCAGGCAGATGGATAGGGCGCTCTGGTACAATACCGTGGCCAGCCCGGTGACCAGATTTGAATCCGTTAGATAGATTTTTTTACTGGGTAACTGTAAAAGAAAAAGTGTATTTCAAGCCGATTCAAAATGTAGCTGAGCTACGGCAAAGACTATTGGAAGCAGCTGACTTTGTTAATAACCGTGGATTCGCTCGTTTAATAACCCGATCTTTTTTAAGAAGATGTCGAGCGTGTATTGCGGCTGAAGGAAAACAGTTTGAGCATTTGCTGTAAAGGTAAATCATCATCAGCAGCATTTTAACGCCCACTGTTGTGCAAACAGTTATCCTTAAGGGTCCTTGTGCGTTTTCATAATCGCTGTTTAATTAGGAAATTTTGAAAAATTTTCATCAGTTTTTCTTCAAATAAAAATTGTGCATAAGTTAACGAGTAATCTTCTAAGTGTTATACCATTTTTTCCAGTACAGCCAGTTAAAGTTGAGCAAAGTTTTACTTTGGAATACTTGGTTGGGAAATAAGTGGCAATTTTTCCTGAACGAGAAAAGTTGGCAGTAAGGTTGAGACACCAGTTTGAAGATGCATTATTCATCATTACATTGTAAAAATAAAATCCAAAAAAAGTTAATATTTGTAGTAACAAGAGTTGACAGACTGTCGTAGGGTGTGAAATTTCTATATTTTTTTCAAAGACCTATAATTTTCAAAACACATACTTAAAATTTTTTTAAATACTTTTCTGATAGCTGTTATGACTTTGCCTATCACCCGGTTTCTGCTTGACGTCGATTTCTGGGACACCCTGTAAACCTTTCTCCGCATGATCATTTTCTCTCTCTCTCTCTCTATATATATATATAATATGACCCGGTTGTTTAACTATATATTTCTCGATTCTGGTCCGCCCATGATATCGTCAAAATTCTAAACCTGCTAGACGAACTCACTAGGCTTCTCGATCCAACTTGGCCTTCATGCAATGTAATAATTAAACATTTAAAAACCAGCTTTCATTTATTTGTTAGTAAAACGAACTAAATTCTTCTTTAACAAGGTATGTATAGAATTTTTTTCACTAATAACTACGTATATACATCACACAAGGAATCCTTTCTACGCCACTCATTCGTATCGAGCTGAAAGAATCTAACATACGTTTTTACGTACACTTGCTTTCAAATGTGGCACTGGATCATAATTACTATCAGTGATAGAAGACTAATTTCTGATATTTGTTATATATTCAAACTAATTAATAACCTTTGCTACTGTAATAATCTACTTTCCCTAGTTCAATTTAATGTGCCAGATAGGAATTGTCGTCATTATATCATGTTTAACTTACTATATTGTTGTACTAACTTAAGTACGAATTCTCCATAAATAAGAGCACAAAGATTCTACAATCAATCATGTGAAGAAGCCGTGTTTGGTGATAACATCACTATATTTAAGCGTAAAGTAAAATCCAAGCTTTTAAATCAATAATCAATCATTTTATATCACAATATTAGTCATTTTTCGTAGCCAATATTATAGGTGTATATACCTTCATATCTCACAATTTAGTACACGTTACTCATATTTAATTGAAACATAATGGGTGTGTGTTGGCTTTGGCTGTGAACATCCAAAATTGTTATAAATAAATGATGCTACTATATTCAAAATTACTTATTTCTAAATCGATTTGAAATATTAATATGTAATATAAAGTTCAGTTATTAAACTGACACAATGAAATAGACAGGATGCAATTTCAAATGACATTATTTACCTAGGTGTTTTTGCTTTCATTAATTATCTAGGGCGCGAAATGCCACTTCTCAGTAAGGCCATTGATGATTTCGCGGTGTAGTAGTGAAACAAATACTTTTCCCATTGTAAATATGTCGTTTTATACTTTGTAACCCTCAAACAATAATGTAGCTCCTTTCATCTCAAATTTCTGAATAAAAGCATTTTTGCTGTTTTAATTCTCCGATTTGTTTTATTAACAGCTAAACAGAAGCTTTTTTTAAATCAATTTTTTTTTTACTTTTTTACATACATTCGGTAAATAGGACTTGATGAAAATGTTCACTTTATTTATAATATATGTTTTACTATTGTAGTGAACTTACCTAATATTAATGAACTGATATTTGGAGTGGTTATTATAGATGAATATACAGTATTTCACGGGTAGGCATCACGGTAGTATGACGATTACCTAGTGATATCTCGAAATTCCCCATATCGGCACAGGACACATCATTCTGACGGATCCGTCAACGTCAGGTAGACAGAGCCGTATTTTGATTTTTTTTTGTACGCCACAGATTCATTTTGTACTTGTCAAAGCTCCTTTATTTAAAAAAGTTCATTTGCATACAAAAAACAAAACGCCACAAACAAGCTGTTCATCACGTCAAAACGTGATGGAAAGCCGTGAAATAGGGTATAGTTTTACATTATAATTGACTAAACTTAACCATCAGACATGTCAAGACGAATGTAATGAACCCCAATTCGATGGGTAAGCGTTGATTTATTATATAGTCCCTCTAGCTCGATCATCGGATCAGCTCCATGTCAATAATATTACATTGAGCCGTATTCATATGCATATGCATATCCTCGGAAGCATAAGGTAAAAGTATAAGGTCTTGCTTCGGGGAAAAAGGTAGAAGCATAAGCATATCCTTGTTTTCATATTCATAATGATTACCTTATACTCGCAAGGATATCCACCAAGAAGAAGTAAAAGGTTGACTGGTATTTTAGCGACATGTCCTGACTTGTTCCAACTTGTAGTTTAGGTGGGAGTTCGTTCACTCTGCATCACTGACAGTTGTACTCCAGAGCTTACACAGACCGTTCCGTATTTTTACTGGATACAGTTTTTTATCAAATTAATAAGCATGTCATCCTCAAGCGACGAGGAAACTAAATAAAATAATGGCAACGACCTGCAGTTCATCGCAGATGAAATTGTCATTGCTCCCATTATTTTGCAAAAGTCACAAGTTTCAAAAATAAAAATGGGAAAGAACGATGCCTTGAAGAAGATGTTGAAAAAATACGAATCAACATTCGGTAAACTATTAGATACTAAAGGCTTATTAAAAAAATCAACAACATGGAGTCAAGATTGAGGAAAAAAAAGATCTAAAAAAACTGGTAATAAAGCAATTAAATTGTTAGATTGGGAAAGAAAGTTGCTGAAAGCTAAGTAAGGTGACTGTAATCCTACAATTGGGAAAATTAGAGGTGCCATTCAGGATGGTAGTGTTCAAGAAGAAGGAAGTGAACTATATACCGAGCGCAGTGAGCAAACAGTTAGTATTACAGCGCTAGCAATTCAGAAGACATTGCCACCAAAAAGAAAATTAGCAACAGAGAAATACGAAACTGAGGAAACCAAAGGGTTAACTACAAAACGTCTAGTGCTATTACAGCAGTACCAAACAAGTATTTTACAACAAGAGTATTATAAAACGAAATTAGAAATGATGCAGCGTCAGAAGCCATCTGTAACTTATGATGTTCACGAAAATAAAACTTATTATAACTTATAAATACACTTTAATCAGTAAAACTATTTATTATAATACTCAAGTTTCTTCTTATTTGTTGACCTAATTGGCGCAGAGGAAGTTCGTCATTCTCATGATTTCCTTCATCTTCATCTGGGTCTCATTCAACTAACTCAAAGTCAGGATCGCCCAAGCTCTTCGCAACATTATGGAGTACAATACAAGCAATAATTATTTTCGGCACATTTTCCAACTTTACGCGGCAAACATACTGTAGGATAGGAAACCGGCCGAAACAGCGTACAATTATAACTCTTTCTTGTTTTAACAGCTTATTATAATTTATTTCTGCACCTGGAGTAGGATTTCTGAAGGGAATCATGAGGCATGGCTCAATACAATAACCGTCATCGCCAAATAGTACAACATTTGCTTTATTTATTAGTTGTGATATAGTCTGTGAATTTCTCCATATTCTGGAATCATGCACTGATCCAGACCAGCTGACATTAACACTTGTGAACATCTCTCTGGCATCACAAGTGACTTGCACATTTAAAGTAGGTTTCCCTTTTCGGTTGATATACTCATTTCCATGGCGATTTGGTTTCAGGATTCCTATATGTGTACAATCAATTACACCAATTGCTGTCGGAAATTTATACATGCTTTGCCATATCCGCTTGGCCTCCACCAGTTCATGGTTGGTAGTTGGAAACTTGATCCATTCGTTCGACTGTGCAACTATGCTGTTCACAATTCTATCCACAGTCCGAGATACCGTTGCTTGACTAACACCAAGTTCCTGACCAATACCTTGTTGATAGCGTAGACATATCTTCATTTTATGAATACATGAAAGTGCTCCTCCTCGAGTTTCCTCATTCTCAACTAAAAATCTGTCCGCAAGACTTTCGGATTCTGCGCAGTAGAATCTCGTGACTGCAGAACCAATCCGCAATTGGTTACTGTCAAAATCAGAACTGTTCTAGAATAGTTCGACGTAGAACCCGAACAAAACGAACATCTCTTTCACTTTTATACCAATCGTGGTAGTTCGCTATTTACATGGACTTGGTAACTTTGTATCTCCTCTATGATATCGCATACCATTGTGTGAAATGTCAGAAGATACCATGAGAAGAACCAATGAGAGAAACGTATGAGTGGATTCTCATTCTGATATCGAGTGTTGCGTGTCTTCCCAGGAAAGAAGAAAAAACAATGCTCTTGTTGCGGTTGGTAGACACGAACCGAGTTTTCAGAAGATTCTGCTGATGACTTGCCGTAGTCATTATAATATAATGGAAGCGGGTCGCGTGTAGGTTAGTTTTATATTCTTGTATTCTTCGCAGATGCTTGCTAATGGATTTAATTTGCAGAATGTGAAATGCATCACTTGTCTTTCACCTTTCGGATTGGGATCTTAAATCAGTAAACTCTAGCTTAACTATCAATACGCTATTTGCCAGGAGCAAAGTGGATAGTGGGGGAACTAAATCGATCGCCGTGCACGCGGCGAACAAAAAGAGAATTAACGTCGGCGTGATACTGGATAATAGGCGTGGTCTCTGAAGTGAAATTTGTGTTTTGTGGAGACAACCGAGGCCTGTCAGATCAAAAGGGAAGGCGAATGGAAACTCAAATTCTTCATAACCTCAAATCGAGCAAACGACTGATATTTTCATTTATATCCGTTTATTTAATGACACGTGTCAAATACAAATATTTTTGTTTGAAAGTTTGGCTCTATCCGTCTGGTAAAGCGACCCTTAGGACCTTTGCGTTTAGTTAAACCAATATGAGCACCTACTATCCAGTCTACATATCTATGTTCATATACATGCACTGACTAGATACAATCGTTATCAAATGGGTTAGAAGCATGGGATATACGGTTATAATTTATCATTGTTCAAAAACCGATTGTCATAATATTAGTCTGTATTGAAATCATCCGTTCAGTTTGTTAATCTGAAAGTGACAGCATGAATAGTATGATCTAATTTTTAAATTAGCTTTAAATTATTTTTAATTCAATTTGTGCTTCTATGAGTATAGAGAGTGGTACTTAATGATAGGCCGAAATTTCAAAGGCGCATCCCTGAATCAAATTTAAGTAGAGTTCATATGAACATGTCCTAAAAAGTTTGGTTTTCAAGATACTGATGTCAAAATTTCAAAAAAATGGAATTTTATTGATATTTCAAAGATCCTTGTGTCAAATTTGTTTTGGCACTATGTTCGATTGCAATAAGACGCCAAGTTAGCACTAACTTAAAGATAATTCTGAATTCTACTGGCGTATCGGGGGCGCAGTATCAGGATTGATATTGACAAAAATGCACATATTATTTATTTCGGGTTAATTAGCTCTGCAGCAGCATTTTATTCATTTTTGTTTTCGTGTTTTTGCCAATAGCTCTGCCGGCACTGGTTTGATATTCAAAAACTACAAAGCTTTTTCGTCGTTGATATAGTATTAAATTTCTGTGAAAATTTTATCAAAATCCGAGCAGTATTTCCCAAGTTATAGGATTAGCTGACAAACTGACCGACGAAACGGAGAGACGAGGTTTTCGTGGTGCACGTGTCATATAACAAAAAAATTTTCGAATTTGTTTGAGATTACGATACTTCCTCGCCAGTGGCGTAGCTAGTAAAAATGTATGTTTGGTATTCGACATTCAATCTTATTTTTGATGCTGCAGATATCACTAAAACGCTTAGATTGTGAGTTTATCTATGGTCCTCAAAAATCCTGGTTTTTCGATGTCTCGAATCTATTTCTTATTTGGGCGCAGCTTCAGAATTGGTATAAAAGAGCGTGTGAGTGATCTAGTTTTTTGCTGATGAATTTGTTGTCGTGGTTTCCATCGAATCAACCATGCATTGTGATTTTGTCAATAACATTACTAAATAAAATACTACGACAAACGTATAGCAGACTTGATATCAGTTTCAGTGGAATTTTTATATCTCCTGTTTCGTAAGAATCAAAAATTAACATATTTATCATCTGTATGACAATGTGTAGAGTTTTTTAATGGAATTAATACCAAAAGACAATAAAATCATTATACTTGATTGTTTTTCAAAATATCCTGTACGAGCGAAAATAAAAGATTTATTCCACCAAATCATTTTTTCCTGTGGGTTATGTTGTATTCTGTGTTTTTGATCAACACTTTTGACATTGGTTCCAAAAATAGTCCTGTTATAAATATAATGTAGGATAGATAGTAGTCATTATACATATTGTGTTTGAGTCTCACGGTGTTAATTTTTTTTTTCAGGATGAAACCAAAACCTCTGAATCGAAATTAAACTGCAGTTACCCACAGGTAATCGATTAGTTCTTATGCTTTTGTTACCTACTTTTTAACGAAGGCAACGAATCGTTAACTTCATTTATTTTTTATTGATAATTATCAATAATAATATTGATAATTAACAAAAATAATTACTGATTACTTGTAATCAGGAAGGTTATGTTAAAAATGTAGATGAACTAAGCTTAGTATTAGTTATCTGATATGTGACGACTTCTCACTAAAGATAAGTACTCGAAGCATTGCTGAAATTGGTCTTAATAATAGTACTATCATATCAAATAACAGATCTGTTTGTGTGATTATAGACAGAAAAATTAGATTGTACCTTCCTTTTTTAAACAGATGTTTCTCAAGTCATATCTCTCTAATTGTGCAAAATGGTCAAAAATAAAAAAGATGTCCCTATTACAAGTTAATATGGTATATACCAACATTGCAGATTTTCATTGCTAAAAAACCATGGCTAAAAAAACCATGGTTTGATTATTTGAAGATTGATCATGGACGATTTTTGTTGTCTGTCTACGTCTACTTAATTTCGTTAATATGCCAAAGCTTTCAGTATGTTCAATATATTCTAGTACTGCTTTTTTATTAGTTCATACACATAATAACTATAGCAGTTGCTAGGAATTGAGAGATGCGTAATGTTGATGCTATATTAATTACAAGTGAAGGTCACCGCTTAATCTCCTCAACGTAAATGCCGTGTTGTATACAGGGTGTTTCAAGAAAGCCTATTAGAAGAGCTCTGTATTTAAAATTCGCACGAAAAGGCGGTGAGCCTATCTAGTATTGACAATAACTGGCTTGAACTAAATTTTTATATGTCTTACAAGAGATGATATACAGGGTGAGTTTTCAGTGTGGGCTTGTTCGGTAACTCCAAAATCAACTATTTCTCAAATTGTTCATATGGAACACTCTGTATATTTTCATATTGATTCTCGTTTTCTCTTCCCTTTTTTCTGATATATGCTTTATTATGGGTACTTATGGCTGGTTTTTGAATTACTACAAATACAGGTACACCATCCTGACTTTTCAACTTGTATTGCATGAGATTGGGTAGATCTATTTTATAATGAAAATACACCAATCGACCTGCCGTTAGCAGCCAAATGTCACTTTACTTTTAAATTTAATTTAATATTTTTCATTTACCTTGATAGCTGATTTACAAAAAGGCTAGCTGTAACTACAAAACCAGTTGTACAAACTTCCAAAGATTGATATCACAAAAGCTTGTACATTTGAATTTTTTGAGAAATCGTTCAATCTACGTTCTTGACCATCCTGTATACACTACCAGAAAAACTGAGTAAGTAAGTAGATAGAGAGAAAATATGGGATCTTAAAATGTTTCTGCCGAACAATTTAGTGCTCTAGCAGTAATAGTTGACGAGGTGCGAGTTATCGAAGTTGAACGTTTTTTTTTCGATCAATTGTCAAATAACATTTTGGAAATAAAACTGTATAGTATGTTGTATAAAATTGCTTCATTTGGAAAGACCTATTCAAGTCTGCAATAAAATTTAGGTCTCTCTACTTAAAAACGTATGTTTTTCAACTAAGGGGACTGTTTGCTACAATTTGTTTGATAAATTTTTTTTGGATAACGGACCCACAGTAAAAACTTTAGGTGAATTTACCAGTTTATAGCAATACAAATATTTTCATTGGTTTATAATAAACAAAATATGGATTTCTTTATAAGAGGATGCAATTTTGACAAATAATTTAATACAGTTTTTTGTTGGTTCACCAAGGGAAAAATGCTTCAGATATTTTTATGTATTTTAAACAATGATAAGGCCATTGAAAATTTAATCAAGTAATCAATCATGGGCATAATATACATTGTATAGGAAGGTTTGCGATTGTTGTCACATCGCGTGTTGGAAACGGAGCTTTTTGATAGGTAAAAACCTACCTAAACCCTTTTGAACTTTGCCCTATGGCATAATATCACTCTCGGTCATACATCTGACTAAACCACTTGGTTTATCTAAATTATGTCAAATTATCGGAATGGAAAACTTTTTCTGAAGCAAGTTGAGGGTAGATGAAGACTGATACTTTGTAGAGTAGTGATAGTATAGTATCTGTATTTCGTATAGTTATTAAGTAGCTGTTGTGGGTTAAAGCTTATGACGCCTATTTTATTCTTAATGGTATATTTTCTTTTAATAAAGCATGCTTTTATATTGATCTGTTTTTTTTACTAACATCTTCTATTACTAATCGCCTTTTCTACTTCCTCTTGCATGCATTATATCGTAGTTATACATAATTCGGTGTTTGGTATAGAATATGGGCTTTTACGAGTATTGGGTAAGCAGGCGATTGAAATATCGAATTGTTTTGAAAGCGGGTATATTTTTTAAGTTAATCTCAATACGTAGAATTTATAGATATCACACCGCTCCTCAAGTTTTATCAAAATCGGTGCAATGCTTCCTGTGCTTACGTTTACAGTCGATCTGCAGAAACAGGAAAGTGGCGGATA